AGTGGAGGAGAACTAAATAAAGTTAGAAGGCTGCAGTATTGATTTGTACCCAGCAAATCATACACGATAAAAGTGAAAGCGTTAAAACGACTGGATTTTTCAAGAATCTTCAGTTTCTTTTCCTAACTTCAATGCAACTTCAAAACACACTGAAATTCCCCCAATACCCGTAAATTACACTGCTAAAAAAATAACACCGTTACAGAATCTCTTGTCAAAATGATTCCTGAAACAGCTGATCAGAAAGAATTTTGGTAAAAGAAAGGCATAAAGACAGCTAGAAGATATTGCCTAAAATATAACTACACGCTTCTTAAAGCATAGTCTATCTGAGAACCAAATATCAGAGAAAGTGAACTCTATTAAACTGGGAGGCGTTAAAAAAGTCACAATAAAGACACCCAGACTTCAAACTACTGAGACTGCTCCGCTAGAACTGATACGAAACACAGCTGATAAGCAATAAATAGAAAGCAAAAATAAAAATGTTGGCAAATGAAGGTTGCGAAAATGGAAAATGCAATTAGAATTAATATCAAAAATGCGAGGCACAAAAACTGACTGCAGATTATACTTCAGCAAGTCAGCCCAGAATTTCTTAAAATAATACAGATTTGCTTATAAAAAAATAAGCATACCTGTCGAATGTTTCCTAATAACTTATCCATCTATGCAAATATAAAAAACGGAAACAAAGACCAATGATATGACACAGTGGTAGAACCCAGCACTGGCATATCTTTCTAGCAGAGAGCAAAAACCATAAGTCAAAAAATGTTAGAAAATTGTCACTAATCCTCTTGGCAGTAGAACAAGTAAAATCCTCCGAGCATCTTGAAAGGGTTTTAAACAACTGAGACGCATGAAAAATTTCGCAAACCATGTGATTCTTCATAAAGAAATAAATTAAGAAAAATTTTCCACTCAAACCCGAAGAGAAATGTCTTGACAAATTTCAAACAGCAATTTTTAATGTCACCGAAGTCAGAAAACCTCTTGATTCGCTGTACCCGTAGAAACCGGTAAAAATCCTTCTTTCAAAAGAAGCTTACGTGACTGTACCAAATAATGCATTCCAAGATTAGAAAGCACTAACTCATAAGGATACTAGTAACTACAGCTTTGGAGATTGCAAACAGGAGCACACATCGATACAAACCCGTATTTGTGAAAACTCGAAGGTTTTCAGTCTTTATCTACTGCGAGTATCTCAGTTAAAGCGGCTGAATGAAGAGGGGCATCGGTAAATATAGTGCCAACAAAAGCATGTGTTCCCCAGGAGCCATGTTCGAGGACCTGAAAAAATCTGCTGCATTTCAGAGTACAAGGTGGGTCGTAGCTCAACACGTCAGCTCCGCAATCAAACTGTTCGAATACTCACTTTACAACATCCGAAATCTGTAACTCGAAATCCTAACGTGCGATAGCGTTCGTCATTAGCAGGCAAAGTTCCTCTTGTAGATTTACTCAAATACTGAAAACCCAATCTTTTAATGGAAAATAATACCCGCATAATTCCGAAACTACCAAATGCATTTTTTCTTACTGGTTTGCCAGAAGATGGATCAATGAAGTCTGCCCAATAGCCATATTTTCGAAGTATTTCACATATCCTCAATGCCGCTTCAATGAACTGAAAACGAGTAAGACTAGCCTTAAGTTGTAAAAAGGTTAACAAAAAAAAAAATCAAGTAAATTACACTGTCTTAAAAAGTTGTTCAGATAAACAAAAAAGTCAATTAAGCAAACAGAAGAAAAGAATTCCGGAAACCCAGACTCATACCCCTGCCGTGAGCTGTAATCTTTCCAGTTCCATACCCATACTCCATGCTGACATATCGTGCTCAGTTTTCTGAGTCAAATTCAAAACGCAAACATTAGTACTTAGTCTCACTCCTTTAAATAGCTCTTTGAGATCTAAAAAAATAAAAGCCACACAAAATTGATACCAAGTAGCAAAAAAAATTTCTTCGAAATCTTATGTGTTGAAAAAAATAAGAACCTTTTTTGAGAAGCTGCGGGCATTCCATTGCTTTTAATTCTACAAGCCCTTTACAAGTATCTTTGTTGGTAACTTCTTCCCTTTTCACCGGATTCGCACGTTTCTCAAGTACTTCTTCTAAAGAAGCTTTTTTTACATCCAATTTAGTTTTCGCTAACTGATCCTGTAAACAAAAAGAAAGGTAAGAATATGAGCCTAAAGCAGATATCACGGGACAGTACCATTACCAAATGAATAAAAAAGAGTCGCTTCAATTTCAGTTTTTGAGGATTTTATTCCGAGGTAAACGTTACCTTTTCGTAG